TGCTATCTTAACTGGATGACTAGCAGTTGTATTTTCCTCAGACCCATTAGATGATATGAAATGACAGAGTTACTCACAACTACACACACACACTCCTGAAGTAGTTATGAAATTATGGGTTATAGTTGTATACTTAAATATAATAAAATGAACATATTTAGAATAATCGATCGAATTTTTGAGCCCTTTTTTTTATCCAGGGTGCTTCTGCTGATAGAGAAAACATCATTAAAGATATCCCCGAACATCCTATGTCATCGGTAGCTAGTGGCAAAGATTATAAAATTTAATGCAGTCCCGAGGTTGTTTACTGAATTCAATCTTCAAAGTTGATGTTTCTGATAAAACAATCCTCTAGGTACGTGTTTGCAGAAATCCGATCATTCAAGTAATAGCACATTAATATTCGACGAGAGGAAGCAATATATACTATATACCGAATTATTTGTGTTGAATGAAAAGTTCCAAATTCAAATGAATACTTTCCAAACCTATTCACCAATTGCAACAAGTTACCCTCGAAAAATGCACTATACGCCAAAATCATAGATTGAGTAAGCTTTGTAAAAGGCAGATAAAACAGTAGATATATTCTGGAACAATTATTACCAGAACTGGACATTGATAATTCTTCAATAACAAGTATCTGGTTCATGAAATTTTCGAAATATAAATGTCTGTCTATAACTTTCGATTTTGGATCTCCAATCATCTCAGTTGATCCAGGCATCATTCTCTAAGCTTCTCCCATTTCCAAGCTTACTCCACTTGTCCATCTTCTTCTTGGTCTGCCGCGTCTTCTTCTCCCTGGCTTCCACTTGATGATTTGCTTTCATTCTTCGTATATGTCAGTACCGAATCAATTTTTTGTCTTTGATTTCATCTATTATTGTAGGTCTTACCTTCATAATGTCTCTAATTCTCTGGTTTGTTAACCTTTCCATTTTTCACCTACCTGCCGCTCTCTGTAACTATATTTTTGACGATGGTGTTATATACTACATTTATTTTTTAATGGTTGAATATTAAGCAGGACAAATCTGTGTAGATGTGGCAAAACCATGTCTATAAATTCAAAATCACTACCTACAAGCAAATTAAAATATAGAAGAATGGTTGAAAGGGATAGCAATAGTTTAAAAAAGGATTTTGTATTATGCCCATATCTCCCAGCCCTTACATCATACACAATTCTAATTGAGCAATTTTGCTTGAGCCAAAAAAATAAAAAAAAATTTAGGTATCTTCGATTATTATCATATCAAATTAAATATTATTTTCTTTAATTTACTCATCCATCATAAGATGGCGTATCCCGAATTATGTTGCAGTTAATTTTGCTAAAGGGGGCATCTTAATGTACAATACCTCTAACGCTATAAACTCGCTTCCAACACAACCCCTTGCTGATGGGTCTGTTTCTCTTCCTGGTCGGAGCACCTATGGGATCATTGCTTTTAGATTGTGAACAAATTAAATCGATATCCAGAGAAGTATCACAATCCCCACAAATTCTAGAACAAAACTAGAACTTGCAAGTCGCGTTCAAATATTAAAACCTAATCAAGCACATTTTCCGATTCAAAAGTTCAAATCTCTCATTCGTCCATGTAACACCCTCTCTAGACTCTAGACTAATGGGTAACGATAATAATGTGCTATAAAATTTGTTGGGTTAGAGACCAGACTTTGTTTCTCGCACTCAATGTTTATGAGCCAGTCTGTTTATGTTTTTGGCATCAGGGCTGGGACTCTGTAACAGACAGGAATCGTTGTTCCTAATGCTATGGCACTTGCTGTCTTCTATTCGAAATCAGTAGAGAGGGGTCGTAAATAGAGATAGAGAAAATATCTCTATTCGTTACAGAGTCCTAGCCCAGCTGATCTGCCACAAGAAAGGAGCTAAGACATACGTCTCTCTGTTGGCCATTGTTGTTAAATATTTACTTACCCATCAATTATTGAACGGTTAGAATCTTTTTCCAGATAATAATCACAAATAACACATTTACCCATTATTAAAATATTCTTATTTATAAAATAAATAGGCACAAATACAATTCACAATTCTGAGAACTTTTAAAAATTCATAAAAACATGAAAATGTAACCGTATCTCTTAGAGCTGAGTTGAATCGGTTTACTGTTCGACAGACCCAGGTTAATTCATTTAAATGAAAAGAGAGAAAGAAAGAGTTTCTTTCTTTCTCTCTTTCTCTCGATCCTTTCTATACAAGTTTTCCTCTGGCTCAGTTCTGGGTCATTAATTGCATTTTAGTTCCTGGAAGTCTATGTCGATTGGCAATTTCAGCATCCCAAATTCACCTATTCCTTATAGAGTTTATCAGTAATATTTTTCGATTTCAAATCCCTATTTTTGCAATTTTGTTGTGTTTGTCATCGATTTTTGAGGGAAATGATGAGTTTCTTGAGGTAGTATGTAACGTGCCAAAATTGCCTTTAACTATTTCACACTTATTTTCAGTTTTTCATTCAAAATTCATTTAACTTTATTCACATTTTTCCTCTATAAAATTACAGTAATTGCAGATCCTGAAAATTTTCTAATCTTTATAGATATTTGAATTCTATTTTCACTTGTGACTAGTTCTTGTGACGACCAATGATTTTCCTCAATTTTAATCAATATTTTAATTCCATTTTCCAATAATAATTTTTCTTGTACACGAATCAAATATTTCTTATTCTTGGATTAGGTTTTCCGAATAGTGATCCGTTCACAAAATGTACTGCATGCTGCACATACTCTGTTCGATTGATGAATTCAGTACTAGATTTAGTTCTGCATCCAGTTCCATAAACCCCAGGGCTATGACTCTGTAACGAATAGAGATATTTCCTCTATCTCTATTAACGCCCCCTCTCTCTCTATTGATTTCGAAAAGAGTGAAGAAGACAGCCAGTGCTGTAGCGATAGAGATAACGATCTCAGAGTTACTGAGTCCCAGCCCAGGTTGTTCTCTATTTTATAGTGACACTCAAGTCATGTCACTTAATATTTGTGTGCCAGCTGACTGGAGACGTGTCATTCATTTTTATCAATTTACCCTTCGATTAGTAATGGTTTTGGGATCATCGATTCTTTTGTAAGCGTTTACGTTTTGCAACACGCATTGTTTATTCATTATCGTATCCTTCAAATTATGATTGTTCTAGTGGATAATTACTTATTATCATTAGTCCTCAGCTGATATAATTTTTGTCTGATTATATTGTTTTGTGCAATTTTGGTTTTTAAAATTTTACCGATTTATTTTTGACATTTGTCGTTACTTTGCCTCATCTCTATTCTTCAAATCTAGGACAGCTAATTAATTACTTGTGGAGAATTTTCCTTTTATAATTTGGTTGTTCCGAGGTGAAAGAGTCTCTCTTGAAGAATTTTGTTTTTGTCTCCGTCCTAAAGGGGATTTTGGACCTAATTTTCTCAGTTATTAAATTTATGGTACATTGAGTTTCTTTACGTTGCGTTACGTTTTCGTAAAGTGCCATAATTTCGCCGATGATTTCGGATTTTTTAAAACCATGTCGGTAAGTTTTGCCTTGCACGTTTTTTTCCCACAAGAGATTCTTACTTTCTCTATTTGATCATTAGTGGAAAGGGCATCCAGGATCTTGAGTCCAGACTAATAAAGCGGATAATAGTATTTTTGTAGAAAATAAAACCGTATTCCAACAGATCAGACATAATCTAATAACCTCAAATTTTCTTTGCAAACTCGAGGCACATTTTCTTTTCTATTAAGGCTTTATCTGATTTTGCCTAATTTGATTAATTATTATCATATATACATGTTATTATTCGATTTTTCTATTACAATAATTTTCAAGAGCTACAGTTCTACCCAGTAAATTATCACTCTAAATTCATTTTATTTCCTTTCATTCTGTCTCATAAAGTGCCTGATGGATAAGGTTAAGTTACAAATACATTGTGTTATAACAATTTTTCTCTTAGGGTTTTAACACATGGCTACATTGTAACACAATAATACATGTACAAATTGTAACCGAGATTTCCAGGGTATTACTACTAGAGCTTAAGCCTCTTAGTTGGACGGTTACACAATCCTTCTGGACTGTGAATTCGAACTTTGAGATTGATTTGACCCCCTCAACTACAACCAGTACCTACCGAGGACTAACCAGGTTAATTCAACCTGCTGCTACCATCTGAAACATATTGCTATCGTACTAGCTTCAGTTATTCTACTTTTTTTTATTTTTTCCATCTTCATCTGTCCTGAGCCGGAGGCGATCAAAATAAACCCACCCCTACTCTCCGAATTGTCTTATCTTGAGTAAGGGCTTAATTTGCAACGCACTTCGACTTCCAGTCCTGCAATCTCAAGTATGTTCACTAAATTTTTATTTTTTATTTTTTTAAAATTTTTCATCACCAAAAAAGCGTGGCAAGTAACCAGCAATAAAAAGTCAAACTAATAGCAAAATAAGAATAAATATAGACATATTGAATTAATCAAAACATGGTTGAACCAATTACCAATCAATTCTAATCTGGGAATCTTTGCGAAAAGCAATTTGATAAAAATAAATAAAGTGCAGCCAGCATTTCAGCAAAACGCAGCCTTAGAATATGTTTATCGCTGCTGAAATAATATTTAATTGAAAACAATAATAATTTATTAAATATAAATCATAATCCAAACATCGCGAGCTTCAATTAACAATCTGGCAAATTCGAAATGGAAAATTCGTTTCCGATTTAAAACTAATGTGACGGAAAATATTAACGTTAATGGTATTTCGGACATTCGCTCGTATTCCCAAATTTCAGCATGGTTTATGCGCGTAATTTTTCGAAGTTGAGGGATTAATTATACATATATTGAACGGATTTCGAATTTCCGGCATCGAAGGCCAGCTTCAGCCAAGGGTTAGCTATTTTTAATGCGTTTTCAAAGCAAATTCGAGTACCTATTAATTTTAATTTATTATATTTATTATTTTTTTTTTTTCAGAAGTTGAAAGGTTATGACTAAGATGGTATTGAACTAGAATATTTGAAAAATATATGATCAAGAAAATGGCATCGAAAACAGCTGTAACATTGATGACTTTAGTTTTAGGTAAGTGCTTCATTTATATATTCTTCCTAGTAACGGGACCAATGTTTAATTATAAATAAGAAGATTCAAATACAACTATGAGAAGTAGGACCTTGTGCAAGAACACAAAATAATTTTTCAAGATTTAGGTAATCTTTAATGTAATAAAAACAATTACTTCATGCTAATAAACGTTTTGCAATAACTAAGAATTATTGTTCTCATAGAAAAAAAAAAGCATTTTATATTATATTTATAGAATCATTGGTCTGCAATCATTTATGTTCGGAGGAAAATGATTACAGTTAATGTAACTCGTGGTCCGGCATCCGTATATTTGATGTCAAATTTTATCAAAAGCAATGGCCCAGGCAAACTGATATTTATGGCGACTGCTGGTTAGCAAACGTACTCAGTCACACTCAGTCATTTCGAGTAGGATATTATTATGACTGATAAATATGACCAAGTTAATTATACCACGGCTTAAACGGTTTGATTTATAAATGATGAGTGTTTCGCTGTCATAAAGCTAACCATAATAAAGTAGGTAGTTGTTTAATGATAGTGCAACGATTGTAAATGAGCAGTAATTATTGTTACACTTTATAGCAAGGAGTAAGTTAAAAATGCTCCTAAAAAATTAACAGTCCCCACAACGCTAATTCGATTAATTCCATCGAGCGTGTCGTCCATTAAAAGATAAAATTTTCGGTTATCCCGCTCATAATGGAAAGTATATTTAATTTTCTTTCTCGTTGGCTCGTTAAAATCCAAAATCTTCTGGATAGGGATTTATATGCTTTTAATTTGACAGACAGTTTGGCACAATTGTACACTTGTTCGTTTAGATTAATTTTTCATCAAGACTTTTCGACTTAGTATAGATTGTGGGCATAATTTTTGGTCTAATTGGATTAAACTCACTTCATGATTTTGAGATGTTTCTCGCAACCTACAAAAACATAAATCTTTTAATCTTTCAAAGGCTTTTTCTGAAGTTCTAGTCCTGTGGTAAAGTTGGTACTTAAGTATTTTATGTAAAAATACAGAAATGATTATATATACTGATGAAGCGATGTATACGGGAAAATAGGTTTCACTATTTAGGTACATTTGAATAATTTGACGTAAATTCAATAGTTGATTCATTGGTATAACTACTATTGCGCAAATGGCGTTTATTACCGGATATGGACCATATAAGTACAGAACATCGGGAAATTATGACCAAAAAATTGGGTTGATGATTCTACCAGGAAAGTTGACGTCACAAAATTTGTCAACGTTTTCCTGTGAATGATCAGAAAAATAACGGAAATTCAGTGCAATAAATCAAAATTTTTCTCACATATTTTTGTATCAATTTAAAGTCTCTGAAGGGCAGAAGTTCAAAGCTGCTCCCAACTTTCAGATAGAGACGCAGAAGTTTTTGTTTGACTTTTTCTTTCAATTTCTAAGACACACATCGAGTGGTGTTAAGAAATAATTAAAAAAAGGACCTTTTGTTGTATCACGATAGAAGGAGTGGCTTTAAAAAAAAAACGGCTTTGAAAATTTGCTTACATTTAATAAAAACTGATTCACTTCATTCCATTTTCAGCCTTATCAAAGCATGCATTGGAAACAAGAAAGATTCATATAATTAACCGGCAGTTTTTTTTGTAAGGTCTTTGGTAACGGGTATTCAATAATTGTTATGGTCAGGTCGCCTATGGATGGTAATTGCAACGAGAAAACGCAAAAGTGATAACATAACAGTTATGTTGATAGCGATTATCCGGCCATCCTCCACTTTATAACTTCTTGCATTCTTTTCGAGTTTATGTGCCTTTTTACAAATCAAAATCAGGTCTTTTCAGAACCTACAAGTGTTTTTGCTGTGCGTGTATTTTGGCGATTTGGCCACACATTTTCGCTCTCCTCCTCTGAATTTTTCACGTGAACTTCGCAATGGTTTTTACCCTCGAACGAAGACAATTTATGGTGGAAGCCTACTTGCGTAATGGCACAAAATTTAATGGGATATGGGGTTCAATTCAATCCGCTCGTAATGATTGATTGGAGCAATAATTCCCCCATGCAGTTGTGGACCAGAAATTTTTTTCAGGGAAATTCTTCAGAAATATGTGCAATGGGTCTTTCCCATTATTTTTTTCATTTGCTTATTCTCGGATTTTTTTGGTACCGGGAAAGGCCTCAAATTTTTATTTGAATTTCAAAATTTCTAGGATGGTGACGTCACGGGCCTAGATTTTCCATTGGCTGCTTTCTTCCAGTGTTGCCATGCGGTTGTTGATTTCACAAAATTTATCTTCGCTTTGTCTTCTCAAAGTGACATATCGATAAGTATTCGATTATCCATCGTTCATCTCATCTCATCAAATTCTTATTTAACCTCATTTTTGAAATGTAAACAAAGTGTAATTTTATTTTCTTTATTTGAAAATATATAGCTGGGATTCAATAATTAACTAAAATTGTGCCATTTCCATTTCCAAAAACCCATTTACCTGAATTTCGGTTTTTATTGGGGCGTCTTTTAATTTGATCCCAAACACAAAAAATGTACCAATTTCAAATTAACCTATCTTGCTTGGCCCCGAGGGTACCGTGGTCGGTTGACTAATTAAAATAGGTACTTCACATTTGAATTTTAAATCTGATGCATTCAAAAGAAACATGTAACTATAAACAAAAAAAATAATAACATATATACCATTTAATTTTGTTTAAAAGTTTATTAAAATTGATAGGTAATGGTTTCAGGTTTATACAATATACATTACAAATGCAATATATATTATATAGGTATCAATTTATATAATATGTACAAAAATCGACTTAATCCTATTTATTTGAATCATATTTATTGTATGTAAGTACAACCTACACATTCATACGGGTGGAATTTTCGTTTTTGGAGCCCAATGAAGTTCTATCTATCAACACAATCTTTAAATTTCCAGCTCAGAATGCTATTATTTGCGTAATCTATTATGGCTCTTATTTGCTCTTATGTACTTTGTGTTCTGGGGTTATTCTACAGTTCTACACTGAACAGTAGGTATAATGTTGGCTTTCTCTCTTCAGTTGTTCATTACTAACAGCAATCAGCATTGAACATATTCTTTTTTTGCTAATCTAAAAATGAACCTTAGAAGTAGTAAATACCTAACCTAAGGTTCGTTTCACCAGGGTTCATACTTGACCTTGAAACTTGAAAAAAAAGGGTTGTCGTAGATTAATTTATATGAAACATTCAATTTTTTGACAATTTAAAATGAATGACTTCTGGTTTAAGGACCGACGAACGTTTTTGACGTCTTTGATTTGTTTCAGTCAATTTTTATTTGTTAAACAAGGAAGGCAAATGCTAGTGGCAAGTACAAACCCTGGCGAAACAAACTTTACTTTGGACAATACATGAGTTAATAGGCTTGTTTGTTGCTTATTATAATTATGTTCAGATAAATCTACAGCTTTTATTATCTCTGTAACGTTTTTTGGGTTTTAATACCTGATTATTCAGGGTTCGAAAAACAACAACAACGTTTTGTGAGTAATGATTTTTATTTACTGAAGTATGTCAGCTGAAGTGACGTTAGGTTAGTAGTTTACAGGTTGTGGGGATTACTGCTTAGGCAACCACTTAAACATAATTATTGTGACATTTCCCTTTCTTTAAAAAAAAATGAAAGTTAAATACAAACATATAACATATGATAATTCAAGGTTATGATTATTAAGAAATGAAATTTGGAAGTACATTTGTAGTAGGTAGAAGTTAGCAAAAGAGAAATAAATTTACTGTAAACAGACAAATACCTACAGTGTTTTCTTTTCCTTATCATAATAATCAGAGATTTAATTTGATGACGGGTTTTATCCTTCGTCCGGATCTGGTAGTGACGGTAGTGTAATCTTCCGGTTGGTCTGGTATCAGTTCATTTTTCAAATTTCCTTGAATTACTTCTTGGGGTTCATTACTGTGATTTATAGACGTGTCCGGGTTTTCTCTTTCTTTCATGTTAGGCTCGGTGCTAGGTAGTATTACGATGTCATTTTGTGGCATTTTTAGGTTTGCTTGAGTTTTGTGTATTACTTGACTATTTCTTCTATAAACAGTGCCATTATTGGTTTTAATTTTTACCGATCTTGGATTTCCTTCTTCTTTATCTATTATTTCTGCACCTTCCCATGTTCTATGATCAATTTGAAATCTAACTTTGTCTCCAATGTTTAGTTTTTCTGCATCTTTTTTGTCTTTATTCGCATTTTTTGTTTGTTTACACCTTGCTGTTTTGAGTTTTTCTGATACATTTTCTGCTATTTTTGGTATTAACTTTTCTTCAGACACAGGTATGGTTGATCTAGTCACTCTGCTAAAAAGTCTTTGGTTAGGTGATCCGAGTTGGTCTGCACGAGGTGTATTACGGTAATTTAGCAAAGCTAATCGAATGTCTGTATTGTCAACATAGCATTTTTTAAGCAAGTTTTTTATTATTTGCACGCCCCTTTCGGCAAGTCCATTACCTCTTGGATGGTGTGGTGAGCAAGTTTGATGTTCAAATCTCCAATTGTTTTTAAAATCCTTAAACTCTCTTGAAGAGTATTGTGTCCCGTTATCACTTTCCACTAACTTTGGAATTCCGTGTATTGAAAACCAATTTTTTAAGTGAATTATAATTTCACTTGAAGTTAACGTTTTAAGTTTTTGAAAATCGACGAAACCAGAGTAACTGTCTATTATGCAGATATAATGACTTCCTTTAAAATCAAAAATGTCTGTTGCCACTATTTGCCATGGTAGATTAGGGATAGGTTTGTTTAAATTTTTTTCTGTGGTCTTAGATTTTTGAGTACGTTCACAGACACTGCATTTCAAAATGTAATTTATAATATCATTTGTTTGTCCTTTCCAGTATACAAATTCACGGGCGCGACGCAAACAGCTTTGAATGCCTAAGTGTCCTTCGTGAATGTCTGTTAGCACTTTATGAATTTTGGTTTGAGGTATC